ATACCCCGCCCTCCCCAGCCAAGGCCGGGCTCAGGGCGGCTAACAAGCAATAATAAAAACAAATTGAATGAATACAACTTAAAAACAAAATAAAAATAAAACATTAAAATATTGAAACATTAAAATATTAAAATGTAGCCTCATCGCAGGAGGAGAAAGGAAAAGAAAAAAGAAAGAGGGGGAGGGAATCAAATTGGCTCCAAGCCAAAGGCCAGGCAGAACAACTCTGTCTTACAGGCCCCACGGAAAGAAATCAGATCCTGCAGGGCCCTGGTCTCATGAGGCAGAGCGTTCAACCAGGCCGGAGCCAGAGTTGAAAAGGCCCTGGCTCTGGTTGAAGCTAATCTAACTTCCTTAGGGCCCGGGACCACTAGGGTGTTGCTATTTGTGGACCTTAAGGTCCTCCGTGGGGCATACTGGGAGAGGCGGTCCCTTAGGTACGAGGGTCCTAGGCCGTGAAGGGCTTTAAAGGTCAAAAGCAGCACCTTAAATCTGACCCTGTACTCCACCGGTCAGCTGAATGATCATGTGTACTCAGTTTCCCACCCTCCTCCATGCAGCCCCGGGTGCTTGCAACCCGCGCTATGCCACTGTCTCAACCCACTGCCTTATAGAGTTTAAAGGTTTCAGAGAAGCCAAGGATGGTGAATTTTTGGCTCTGCAGATGTTGCTCAACTTTAGCTCCACCATCCCTGATCATTGCCCACGCTGCCTGACTGTGGTGATAGGAGATGGAGTCTAACAACATCTGGGCCCCAAAGTCGAAGTGCATTGGCTTCCCATCCCTGAATAAGCCATGTTCCTCAGTTCAGTAGCTTTTTATCTATGACCTCTGGAACAAGATCTTTTGTCAAGGGGACAATGGAGTACAGAGAAGAGTGCCACCTGGTGGCTGTCGTGTGTCCTAAAGGAAACTGCAGCTCTTCTGGTCATCCATTTATTCCTTAAACCAGTCTGATCAATGGTTTGGGCAGAGTGGTAATCCAGGAATATGTGGAGGGGCACAGGCTCCCCGTGCCTGATGAAAAAGGACTTCTAAGCTGCCTTTCAAAATATATTTCCAAAATGTTGCATAAAATACAGCACAAAAACGAAAATCAAGATTCACAACTGAAATAGTAAAATTGGCTTATCGCTTCAAACCGCCCATTCCACCGTAAGCACTAAAACCTGACTTCGCAAGCCTTTGAAAGCAAGATCCAGAAATCTGTTGGGAGAACACAGAGGTGTGTCTCTTTCTTGCTGTTGTTCATTAGGCTGCCGGTGGAGCTGCTTCTCCATGGAAATATTACCAAGATGGGTCAATATGACATACGGTTTGTGGGCGGAAGTCTGTGGACTTTTGCAATAACACCCTGCCCCCCCAAAAAAATCTCTTCAAGGCTGGGTAAATCGATGCTGGTTCATGATGCCACAGAAGAATGAAGGACTAGATAGACCACAAAGAACACGTGTTGTTGTTTTTTAAAAAAAGTTCTGTACAGGAAAAATAAAGTACCTGTGGTTAGTGGGTGGCTCAGAACTTTTTATATAAATTTTATATTGTTTTTCAGATTAAAATTTCAGTCACACATCCAACATACAACCAAGATTCCAAGAATCTCCTGGACGTCCCTCCTCCCTGTTGTGGGACCTATTGTTAATCATTTCCTCCCGCATATTTTATAATACAGTGGTACCTCGGGTTACAGATGCTTCAGGTTACAGACTCCACTAACCCAGAAATAGTACCTCAGGTTAAGAACTTTGCTTCAGGATGAGAACAGAAATTGTGTGGTAACGGCAGCAGGAGGCCCCATTAGCTAAAGTGGTACCTCAGGTTAAGAACAGTTTCAGGTTAAGAACGGACCTCCGGAATGAATTAAGTTCTTAACCTGAGGTACCACTGTAATCCAAATCTTTTACCTCTCCACTGTTTCCAAAATTCACCATTAAACCAAAAGTGTTATTCCAATCCCACTAACGATTTTAACTGTTCGCAATGGTTTTTAAGATAAATTATAAAAAAATTCCCCATTCCATATTAAAATTACGGTCTTCCTGATTTCTGATTCTTCCGGTCATTTTAGCCATTTTGGCATAATCCATCAACTTGATCTCTGGTAGACCTACCTACCAGGCTCAGAACTCCTTTAGCTTTTCCCTCCCGGATGATGTTCCAGTCATTCAGGGTGGCTCCTGAGAGGCTGCTTTGTGCTGAAGCACAGCTGAAGTTCAAAGCACACACACAGGCATACGCTCTGCAATGGCCACACACAGACCCTAAACTGCGAAACTCCCTGTCCAAAGGGGTACATGCACCACTTTGTTGTCTGGTGCATTCTGAAAGTGTACCTTTTTATCCTGGCCTTTAATTAAAAGGTTTTTGCTATACGGGACCTGCCTCTTTTGCCAAATCTGTATTTGTATTTGTCCTACGTCCCGTGGAGGTATCATGGAGGGGCGGTGGTGGTCTGATCCCAAGGAGGAGAGGAGCTTAGGGAGTTGGGAGCTAGATGACCCTGGAAGTGTCAAGAGTCCAGGGAAATTGTTGGTAGTGTGGTGGTTGGCAAGCCAGATCTCAAAGAAGAGGAGTTTGGATTTGATATCCTGCTTTATCACTACCCTAAGGAGTCTCAAAGCGGCTAATATTCTCCTTTCCCTTCCTCCCCCACAACAAACACTCTGTGAGGTGAGTGAGGCTGAGAGACTTCAGAGAAGTGTGACTGGCCCAAGGTCACCCAGCAGCTGCATGTGGAGTGGAGACGCGTACCCAGTTCCCCAGATTACGAGTCCACCGCTCTTAACCACTACACCACACTGGTACCAAGTGAGTTTGCAGAGGAGAGTTCTGCTCCGGTGAAAGCAGACTCCCCTAGTGTCTGTTAGTTGGGGACACCCTTGCATCAGAGGGCATGGGGGGCGGGCGGGCTGGGAAGTGGCCACCCCAGCTGCATAGCCAATAAAGAGGTTCCAAACCACAAAAACATTGCCAGACTGTGTTCCTGTTCTCATACTGAGCGTGTGGGTTTCTCCATCAATGCTGTTGTCCGGGCTTCTTGAGACCAATTGAAGGAGCGTCTCCACCCCCATCATTCTGCCCAGTCCAGCGCCGAGGGCCTTCTGGCGGTTCCCTCATTGCGAGAAGCAAAGCTACAGGGAACCAGGCAGAGGGCCTTTTCGGTAGTGGCGCCCGCCCTGTGGAACGCCCTTCCAGCAGATGTCAAAGTGATAAACAACTACCTGACATTCAGAAGACATATTAAGGCAGCCCTGTTCAGGGAAGTTTTTAACGTGCTCTGTTCCACGGGGTCACGAAGAGTCGGACACGACTAAACAACAACAACAATTTTACTGTATTTTTGGTTTCTATGGAAGCCGTCCAGAGTGGCTGGGGAGGCCCAGCCATATGGGCGGGATATAAATAATAAATTATTATTATTATTATTATTATTATTAAGTTCGTGCACCTATCCCAGGGGTCAGCAAACTTTTTCAGCAGGGGCCGGTCCACTGTCCCTCAGACCTTGATTATCTATCTATCTATCTATCTATCTATCTATCTATCTATCTATCTATCTATCTATCATCTATCTATCTATCATTTTGGGGTAAATGAATGAATTCCTATGCCCCACTAACAACCCAGAGATGCATTTTAAATAAAAGCACACATTCTACTCATGTAAAAACACGCTGATTCTCGGGCCGTCCGTGGGCCAGATTTAGAAGGCGACTGGGTCAGATTCGGCCCCCTGGCCTTAGTTTGCCTACCCATGACCTATCCCCTCAAGAACCCACTGTTGGCTCCTCCTGCTCAGTTCTCATTTGCTTCTCAGCAACTCCGATATCGAAAATGCCCCCTCCCTATTGGATGCCAGGTTTTGACTCCCACCTTCCCTGCCATGCTGAACAGAGAAGAGGTGCAAGGAGCTTGTTTGTGAGCAAGGGCAGCCGCAGCTGATGGAGGTGACTTCCCCCCCGTTAATGGGGCATCCCATTTTGTGGTCCTCTCTTTCTCCCCTGCCCCAGTATCTGTTGGATACAGAACAGCACACATTTTTTTGTTACGGGCGCTTTATCATCGAAATTCCACCGGCCCTGAAAAGGTTGGCAACCCTTGATCCCCTGCCGCTGCTGCTTTAATGGGGGAAGCCATAAAAACAGCTATTATTCTCATTCATCTTAATCCAGAAGCACAGTGCAGCGCAGGCTGCATGCCTACAGGAGCATCTGTGAAGACCTTCTGCCTCTATTGAAATTAATGAGGCTTCCACCGCGGATGGGAAAGCTCCCGATATACATGGTTCAAATCACCTGCATTTACAAGAGTTTGCTGGATCGTGGCGGATGCATTTTGGAACGACTATTACAACTGTAGCCCAACCTCTCTCTTAACAATAGGTCTTGTTTTTCGTTTGTTTGTTTGAAATGAATTCCTTCAAGAGCAGACTTTCAGGTGCTTTCTATCTCCCCCTTTCTTACACCGCTAAAAGGACTGGGTAGTGCTTTTCTTGAGTACAAGGAATGAAATTTATTACGGTCAGAGACCAGCTTGAGAAACACAAATGGAACTACAATCCCAATAGCAAAACAAACATTTAAAACAATTGAGTACAAGGCATGTTTCTGGCAAGCTTGTGGATTTTATTTCTTTAAAATAGTGAAGCAAAATCTGGGTTGCCTCCAACAGTGTGCAAGGAGAAAATTAGTTTTTTTAGTGTGGCAGTGCCTAAACTTTGGAACTCCCTGCTGACTGACAGGAGGCGGGGGGGGGGGGCTTTGCTGTGTTTCCTTTGGTGCTGGCTTAAAACATTTTTGTTCAGTCAATTAACGTAGAATGCCGACTTGTGTTTTAATCTTTTAATGCTAACTTTTGACTTTAATTATCTTGCAAATGTCTTCAATGCCTGTCTTTAAGCATCTTTTTAGCGACAGTTTTAAATTTTGTGCGTGGCCCGCTTAGAGGTTTTATTAACAGACAGTATATAGATGCTGTGAAACAAATAAGTAGGCAGGACAGGATTTTGTCACAACTTTATTTCTGCCACGTTGTTTGACAGTTCACCCCCTCCCCAAGTTACGCATGAAAGCAACCTGTTGGTTGCAGGCTCTCCCACCCCTCCACGGCCCGGGTCAGCCGCAATAAAGCAGATGCAGTTATGAAATTGCAATTTTAGTGCATCAGTCGCTTGCACTCAACAGAGAGAGAGTGCCCCCTGGAGAGAGGCAGCCAAGCTGTTTTGAGCCCCTAAGTTAGAATGAAACCTTCACACAGCATTTATCTTGGAAATTAATTCTATGACTCTGTGTTGATGGTACATCTTCTTCGGCTTTTGGGCATCTAAATACAGACCCAGTCTAAGAAGCTGTTCTTCTCACATTTGCCCAGACGTTCTTCTTCATTCCCTGCGCTGCCTTCACTTCACTGAACTCCAATTTGACATTGAGAGCTTCATCCTCGGGCTCCGGATCTTCTCTGATCGCCCCCTGGGGCTTTGCGACGACAACAGGAAGCGGGCCGCGTTCTTCACAGAATTCTACGACGTAGAGGCCTTTCTTATTGGCTAGGTTTTGGTGAGTTTCCTATTTGGGGAGGGGAGAGGAAAGACAAACATTTAAGCCACAAGTAGTAGTAGAAGAAGAGTTTGGATTTGATATCCCGCTTTATCACTACCCGAAGGAGTCTCAAAGCGGCTTACATTCTCCTTTCCCTTCCTCCCCCACAACAAACACTCTGTGAGGTGAGTGGGGCTGAGAGACTTCAGAGGAGTGTGACTAGCCCAAGGTCACCCAGCAGCTGCATGTGGAGGAGTGGGGAAGCGAACCCGGTTCACCAGATTACGAGTCCACTGCTCTTAACCACTACACCACACTGGCTGATCCATCCAATTTCAAACCATAACCATGTAGATATTCTGCATAGTTGGCTCTAAGGCTTTAGTGGCGAGATTGGCAAGTCACCTTTTTCTTCTAAACAAGAGAAGGGATGCTTTAGGATCCAGCAACTCAGAAATCGTTTTGGAAAGAAAACAGGCACCTGCTAGACCGGGGGTCGGCAACCTGCGGCTCCAGAGCCGCATGCGGCTCTTTAAAGCCTTTGCTGCGGCTCCGGGGCGGTGGCGAGGGGAGGAGGCGAGGGGCGGAGGTGACCAGCCTGCCGCCCGGCGGGTGGGGCGCCGTAAAGCAGAGCGCCCCCCTCGCCAGGCAGACATCCGCAGCGTGGGGAGCCTTGCCGGACTTCCCGGCAAGGCTCCCGACGCTGCGGATAGCAGCCTGCCGCCCGGTGGGCGGGGTGCCCTAAAGCAGAGCGCCCCCCTCGCCAGGCAGACATCCGCAGCGTGGGGAGCCTTGCCGGAGGTCCCGGCAAGGCTCCCCACGCTGCGGATAGCAGCCTGCCGCCCGGCGGGCGGGGCGCCGTAAAGAAGAGCGCCCCCCTCGCCAGGCAGACATCCGCAGCGTGGGGAGCCTTGCCGGAGGTCCCGGCAAGGCTCCCCACGCTGCGGATAGCAGCCTGCCGCCCGGCGGGCGGGGCGCCGTAAAGAAGAGCGCCCCCCTCGCCAGGCAGACATCCGCAGCGTGGGGAGCCTTGCCGGAGGTCCCGGCAAGGCTCCCCACGCTGCGGATAGCAGCCTGCCGCCCGGCGGGCGGGGCGCCGTAAAGAAGAGCGCCCCCCTCGCCAGGCAGACATCCGCAGCGTGGGGAGCCTTGCCGGAGGTCCCGGCAAGGCTTCCCACGCTGCGGATAGCAGCCTGCTGCCCGGCGGGCGGGGCGCCCTAAAGCAGAGCGCCCCCCTCGCCAGGCAGACATCCGCAGCGTGGGGAGCCTTGCCGGAGGTCCCGGCAAGGCTTCCTACCCTGCGGATAGCAGCCTGCCGCCCGGCGGGCGGGGCGCCCTAAAGCAGAGCGCCCCCCTTGCCAGGCAGACATCCGCAGCGTGGGGAGCCTTGCCGGAGGTCCCGGCAAGGCTCCCCACGCTGCGGATAGCAGCCTGCCGCCCGGCGGGCGGGGCGCCCTAAAGAAGAGCGCCCCCCTCGCCAGGCAGACATCCGCAGCGTGGGGAGCCTTGCCGGAGGTCCCGGCAAGGCTCCCCACGCTGCGGATAGCAGCCTGCCGCCCGGCGGGCGGGGCGCCGTAAAGAAGAGCGCCCCCCTCGCCAGGCAGACATCCGCAGCGTGGGGAGCCTTGCCGGAGGTCCCGGCAAGGCTCCCCACGCTGCGGATAGCAGCCTGCCGCCCGGCGGGCGGGGCGCCGTAAAGAAGAGCGCCCCCCTCGCCAGGCAGACATCCGCAGCCTGGGGAGCCTTGCCGGAGGTCCCGGCAAGGCTCCCCACGCTGCGGATAGCAGCCTGCCGCCCGGCGGGCGAGGCGCCGTAAAGAAGAGCGCCCCCCTCGCCAGGCAGACATCCGCAGCGTGGGGAGCCTTGCCGGAGGTCCCGGCAAGGCTCCCCATGCTGCGGATAGCAGCCTGCCACCCGGCGGGCGGGGCGCCGTAAAGAAGAGCGCCCCCCTCGCCAGGCAGACATCCGCAGCGTGGGGAGCCTTGCCGGAGGTCCCGGCAAGGCTCCCCACGCTGCGGATAGCAGCCTGCCGCCCGGCGGGCGGGGCGCCGTAAAGAAGAGCGCCCCCCTCGCCAGGCAGACATCCGCAGCGTGGGGAGCCTTGCCGGAGGTCCCGGCAAGGCTCCCCACGCTGCGGATAGCAGCCTGCCGCCCGGCGGGCGGGGCGCCGTAAAGAAGAGCGCCCCCCTCGCCAGGCAGACATCCGCAGCGTGGGGAGCCTTGCCGGACTTCCCGGCAAGGCTCCCCACGCTGCGGATAGCAGCCTGCCGCCCCGCAGGCATCGGCCAGCCCCACAAGCTCGGGGGACAGCAGGGAGGCGAAGCGCCGCCATCCCGCTGTTCCTCGACCTGGTTCAGTTTCCCCGACCTGCTTTTGGGGGGGAAATAAAGGAAAATTTTTTCCCCTTTATTTCCCCCCCAAAAAACTAGGTGCGTCCTATGGGACGGAGCGTCCTATGGGGCGAAAAATACGGTATTTTTATAATGACGAATGCCTCATTATTAATTATTATTTACATCAGGCACTGATTATGATTTATGGTACACTGGGGCCCTGATTAATTTTCTATGGCATTTTGGGGCATTGATTATTGGGCATAGCAAGTCGCGGTCGCGTGGAATTTGTGCTTTGTGACCGTTTGAAGTGGGGTTTTTTTCTTGGGAGGCTGGGCGGCACGAAGAGAGGGATTATTTTTATAATGATGAGGATGACATTGGGCCCTCATTATTAATTATTATTTACATCAGGCACTGATTATGATTTATGGTTCACTGGGGCCCTGGTTAATTTTCTTTGGCATTTTGTGGCATTGATTATGCAGTCGCGGTCGTGTGGAATTCCACGTGGAGTTAGTTGCCTGAAGCCCCTTTTTAGTTGCTTGAAGCCCCTTTTTAAACTTAAGCAGGTGAAAGTTTGGTGAATTGCTGCCAAGGAGTGTGGTGGAGTCTCCTTCTTTGGAGGTCTTTAAGCAGAGGCTTGACAACCATATGTCAGGAGTGCTCTGATGGTGTTTCCTGCTTGGCAGGGGGTTGGACTCGATGGCCCTTGTGGTCTCTTCCACATATGTATGTGAGCAGGTCTTCTCCAACATGAACTATATTAAAAACAAGCACCGATCACGCCTCACAGATGACAGCTTGCAAGCCTGTGTGAAAATGAAGGTGACGTCTTACAGCCCTGATGTGCAGACACTGAGCACTGAGGTTCAGGAGCAAAAGTCCCATTAACCTGGTTACCTGGTTGTAAATTAAATATTTTAATTAGCTATTAATTTGTCCTTTTTTCTTGAGATTGACAGCTGACTGCATTATCCTGTATATATAGCATTAAGGCCAGAAACAATATATGTAGTGTTATATTTGTTTTAAATGTTGCAATGTTTTTGCGGCTCCCAGTTGTTGTTGTTTTTTCGGAAACGGGTCCAAGTGGCTCTTTTTGTCTTAAAGGTTGCAGACCCCTGTGCTAGACACAGATGACCTCACATTTTATTATTATTTTAATATATATATAATATATATATGTTGCTAGCCCTCATGGATGCAACAATGAGCTAAAAAATATCCAGGCGATATGAAACCAGAAAGAAAGCCAAGAAACTCAAAATCATTCGGTCTTGTTTTTTCCAAGTCTCGTGATCAGCTCAATTAGCATGAATAAAGATTAAGCTGGTGCCCTAATAAGCCTCAACTGTGAGAGTCTGTGTTCTCAGGAAGGACTGAGTGCATGATCCCTCAGACCCTGGACTGGTTGGCACACAACCATGGCTTAGTGCAAACCCAGAGAGGCGACTGCAGCTGCTTTGCTCCTCTCTTGCCAGGCTGTTGCACTAACAGTTTCTTACAGAATGACGCAATGCATGATCCCAACCCCCAGTGCATCATCTCTTAACCATGGATAGCAAACTTTTTGGCAGAGGGCAAGTTAGAATGCAAAGTGGCAGTCTTGCCCCTCCAATTGACATGCATAGGACTGTACTGTAACAAAACATGAGCCACCCAGGATAAGACCGGGCATGTCTTACCTGTTTTGCTAATCCCCTGAAGAGCGCTCGGGTGACATTGAGTAAATTCCTGGATCCATAAAGCTTGGCGTACATGTCTTGAACCCCAATAAGTTTGCACATGGTAATGATAGCTCGGTGGCAGTGAAGACCGTATCCTGGGGGAAGCAGTTAGTGAGCATTAAAGCAGCCCAGTAAAATAATTACTAAACAATTGCTTTCGGCATGGAATTACACTACAAATCACACCAGTCTGAACCATCACAATCTGCACCTGAGCCTGAGATGGGTACAGATTGGCCAGGGGCTCCAAAACTCGATGAAACCGCCCAGTCAACCCCAATTTACCTTCTCTCCTCCCCTGCTGTCACTAAACGCTTTTGCACAAGTGTTTAAACTGCGGGCCGGAACATCAGTTAAGCGAATCATACTTTATTTATACCTGAGTCCACACTGAACCACTGCCTGCCCAAATATAGTTTGCAGAGCTCCGGAGACTAGACCTTCTTACATATCAGAGAATCAGACCCTAATCAGAGATGCACACAGCCCTGGGCTGCGATGTTGAGCAGACCCGAGGCAGGGAAAGAACAAGAACCACAGGAACTGAGAAACGATGTATTCTTCCTTAAGGCCTGTTAGAGGTTTTAATTCAAGCCAGAAGGCCATGGCACGGTGCATTGTGTCACCTTTGTTATTCTGGAGGTGTAGGAGAGAAGGAAGAGAGAAAGAGAGAGCAAAGTCCTATCCAAATATTGCACAGCATGGAGATTAAGTAAGTGCACGTCTTCCCCTCATCCAAAGACATTTATACCAACTGCACAACATGAGATTTATAGCGAGGTTTTTATAGGCCTCCAATTAAGGGCACTACTTAAAGACATCAGCCACAAGTGATGCAAAAGGAGGACTGCCCTTCTGAAATAACTGTGCTTTGGCGGAGGAAACACTCCCATTGAGCTGATCTCAGTAACAGTCTGGGTAGCTAGAAATGAGAAGCAGAACAGTGCAGGCTGTGAGAATAGGTCTGAGGAGCGGTCAGAGCTTTCAAGAAAATGAGAAGCTTGCTACCAAAGCAACAGGATTTTGAATGGCGTTCATTTCATTCATTCATTTGGGTGGGAGGCAACTTGCTTGTTAACGGGAGCAAGGCGATTTAGTATTGAAAGCACTGGTCACTGCTCTGTTGCTAAGCAAACTCCCTGCACTGCTTTCATTTATCATCTGAATATGCCACTTGCTCAAAGCTTTTTATTCTGCAAAACTGGTCCTACAGGAGGCTGAGGGAATTGCCATCAGACCTGGATCCTTCGGCAATTCAGTTTCACCTTTGGGGGGGGGGGAAGGGAGCTCTAAGCCTCTCCTCCCATCACTTTGAAGCCAACAGAGATAGGTATAACATAGGCCCTGTTTTGTACACTGCTGCCACTATTTCACATTGAAGCGCTGTGGGATGTGCGTTAGGTACCATAATGTGGGTGATATGAAGATTGCTTTTCAAGGCATGATTTGATTATGAGACAGAAGAATGCAGCACAGCTGCTGGAGGGAAGCAGGCAGATACGAGCTGGGTATCTTTAGCCTAAAGAAAGTAAGAAATAAAAAGGGAGGGGAGAACATGACAGTGCTCTTCAAATATCTGAAGGGCTGTCATGCAGAAGATGGGGTCGACTTGGTCGCTGTTGCTCCAGAAAGGACTAGAACCAGTTTGGAAATTGCAGAAAAGCAGACCCCAGTTCAATGCACAGAGAGAAAAACAGAGATCAATGGCAGAGCACACACAGGAAATCCCAAGTCCAGCACTTAGAATCTCCTGTTGAAAGGGTCTCAGGTAGCAGAAAAACCTTGTCTGGAGACTCTTGAGAGCTGCTGCAAGCCAGGGTGGACAATACTGGGGAGGTGGACCAAGCAGCCTGGCCTGGCATAAGAACCTATTTATTCTTCCTTAACGATCATAATTCTTCTTCGGATCCTAATTCATTTCAAAAGTAACTCCGTGCCAGGCTGTGAAAACAGTCTGGTCCTTTAAAGGACACCTAAAGGTCTCATTAAAACGATGCATCCTGGGCACAAATCTCAGCTAGGCTCTCTGATGTGCACAACTGATCTCTACACAAGTGAAGGCTGCACTGCTCTCTTCATTTGAAGAATGTTATGAATGGAAAATAGGAAATCCCTTGCGGCCCACGCAGAGCACACTCAATGTAAACGGGACACCAAAGCCCCCATTCCAAGAGGGGGGAATCTGTGGCCTTGCAGATGTTCTTGAACTCTGCCATCTCCTACCAACTGACCATACTGGCTGGGGCTGGGAATGTGAGAACATCTGGAGGGCCACCCCCCATTCCTGCCAGATCTGTACAAAGCGGCAAATGCAAAATTTGGGTGCGTGTCTCCGGTGCTGAATGGGATGCGGGTGGCGCTGTGGGTTAAACCACAGAGCCTAGGACTTCCTGATCAGAAGGTCGGCAGTTCGAATCCCCGCGACGGGGTGAGCTCCCGTTGCTCGGTCCCTGCTCCTGCCAACCTAGCAGTTCGAAAGCACGTCAAAGTGAAAGTAGATAAGTAGGTACTGCTCTGGCGGGAAGGTAAACGGTGTTTCCGTGCGCTGCTCTGGTTCGCCAGAAGCAGCTTAGTCATGCTGGCCACATGACCTGGAAGCTGTATGCCGGCTCCCTCGGCCAGTAAAGCGAGATGAGCGCCGCAACCCCAGAGTCGGTCACGACTGGACCTAATGGTCAGGGGTGCCTTTACCTTTTTACCTCCGGTGCCGAGGAAAGAAAAGAATTTTCCGTAAACTCTAGCTCCATCTCTGCCTCCGGTCAGGTGCAAATATTTAGCTCCTATCGCAAAGTAACCTGGGGCAGCAGCTGATTGTTTATACCGTGCAAGCCGGCCAATTCACACCCGGTAAGAAGTAACCCACAGAAATGCAGTTTTTGAGTCCAAGGATGGAAAATGCGGCGCTTCCGAAATGGCAAATGTGGGACCGCTACCAAATGAAACTCTTGATAAATAGCCTTTCAGATATCGCTCAGACGTAATTATGTCGAAAACCTGATTCCATCTCCAAGCATGAAATTGATACTTTCTCAAAACAGCAGAGCAAATGGCTTTAGATGGCTATCGCTTGTTTTTCAATTATAGGGGTGGGGTGGGGGTGCGGAAAGAAGGGGGAAAAGAGGGAAATATTAGCACAGCAAAGCCTGTGGCCTGCTAATAGACTTCCTTCCCTCCATTTACTGAGCACCGAGCTTGCCCTGCAGACTGGAATAATCTCGAAGAGCTGTCTTAATGGCTTTTTAATAAAATGCATTAGATCACACTTGGGGTTTTTAAAAGATTTATTGGCCTGAGTCACATGAACTAGCACAACTTAAAGAGGGCTGGGTCATTCTAAGTGAAAGCCCCATCACAGAACCATGGAATTGTTGAGTTGGAAGGGACTCAAGCGATCATCTAGTCCAGCCCTCCGAATTCTCATTTAAAATGGTAACAGATTGTAAATCTGCAGGAACAATCAATGTAATGCTCCAGAAAGGAAGGAGACTTGAGGTTCCCTCTTGCATCCAAACCCATCTAAAAACACTGATAAAAGAAAGTACTTCTTCACTTGATCCCCTTCCCCTCTTTCCATTTTCCTTTCTCCTTCTGTGATGGAACTCCTATTTGGGGACTTCCCTGGCCTTTTTCTGGCCCATGTAGGACCAGTCTGGATAGCTGGCCTTGGTGAAGATTTGACGTTTTCATCCCAAAAAAGTTTTTTATTTGAGTTTCTACTGAAATGAGGCTGCATTTTAATGTTGTATTTTAATCTTGTTTTTAAGTTGTATTTTAATCAATTGTTTTTATACCTGGTGTTAGCCGCCCTGAGCCTGGTCCTGGCTGGGGAGGGCGGGGTATAAATAAAACTTATTATTATTATTATTATTATTATTATTATTATTATTATTATTATTATTAACAGCTGAACTACGGAACTCACCCCTGCAGGAGGGAGTGACAGCCACCAACTTGTACGGCTTTAAGAGACGATTAGACACATTCACGTTATCAATGGCTTCTAGTCATGGTGGGTGTGTTGTGATAGTTCCACTGTTAGAGGTCATAGGCCTCTGAAAACCAGGTGCTGAGAAACATGAGCGAGCCGAGTGCTGTTATGCTCAGGTCCCGCTTGCAGGTTTCCCACAGGGATCTGGCCTGATTCAGCAGGCTTGCCTTGTGTTCTTATGCAGTGCAAATTTCTCACCCAGGCAATCCAACACCTGCACCATGAAAACCTGAATTCTGCAGGTTAACAACAGAAAGAATTAGAGGAACCATCGGAAATGACTATGGAAAGCAGTAGAGATATGAGATGATCAGAGCCCTCCGAACTTGAAGAATGGGAAGCCCTATTTAAAAAATATATAATTAGGAAGATTATTTGATATGTATAATTTGGAATATTTAACGTGATTTGATTGGATTGTTAAAGTGGAAAATTTAATAAAAATGAATTTAAAAAAGAAAACCTGAATTCTGCAACTGGTGGCAATGACACAAACTGAACGTTTTGCGCAATTGGCTCTTTCGCTAGTCTTGGGGGAGGCCATGGGAACTGCCCCTCCACCCACGGCCAACTACTATAAATCTTATTTAGCAACCCCTCTTGTATCTGAGGTTTCAGCAGGCAGTGCTCACTTGCTTACAAGTCTGTTTTCTGCAATCGCAAGGATTAGAATTTGGCTTTTTACTCCGCTGCAAAAAACAAAGGAGGCAAAGAGATTCTCGGGAAGTTGAATCCCACACCCAGTGTCACATGCTGCATTTTCCTGTGCTCCCTTACAAAATGACAACAGACACACAACCCTGAAAAGGAAAGAGGGCTGTGTTTTGATCTGGAGTATTTTCTCGTGAGGTTAAGAGGAGTGGGGGGCACCCGCTTTACAATCAAGAGCTACACTGGTGTGGTTTGTGTGACTTTCCATTTGTATGACCCTACACATTTTGGGAAGGCGTGAGATATATTTTTCGGTCATTTCTGAAATACCTAAATCAGTTGTGCCAGAAGAAAGACCCCAAAAGGTGAAAAATATATTGGATCAATAAACCCTGCTTTACTGGTTTGTTCTCCATATTCTTGCATTTGGCGCCTTCCCCTCTTTCCTTCTTCCACGAGATGCTCCAGGAGAATTAACGTTCAAGAGACAGCAAGAGAAAAATCATTTCATTGCACAGGTGAAGGAGTTCACAGTCAACAGAATGATGCCCGAGGCATCGGAAAGGATGAGCAATAAAACTTCCACTGCCACCCCGACCTTCCACATATGGGAATTCTTAATGCTTCCATTTGTCAGCTTGCGACAGCACTCCTGACCTAAGTTCTGCGCATTCAGCATTGCTGCCTGCCCACCGAACTTATGGGGGGGGGGGGAATTAGAAATGCTGAAAAACTGAGAGTGCTGGGCTTCAATCCGGACAGAGCGACTGTTTCACATTACAGGAAAGGTTATGTTAAGAAAAGAAGACTGACCACACCGATTTGGACGAGAACACTTCTAAATTCCGCATCTACCTGAAGGAGCGACTCCACCCCCATCATTTTGCCCGGATGCTGAGGTCCAGCGCTGAGGGCCTTATGGCGGTTCCCTCATTGTGAGAAGCAAAGCTACAGGGAACCAGGCAGAGGGCCTTCTCAGTAGTGGCGCCCGCCCTGTGGAACGCCCTCCCATCAGATGTCAAAGAGAAGAACAACTACCTGACATTTAGAAGACATCAGGGAAGTTTTTAATGTGTGGCATTTTAATGTATTTTTAATCTTTGTTGGAAGCCACCCAGAGTGGCTGGGGAAACCCAGCCAGATGGGCGGGGTACAAATTAATAATAATAATAAGAAGAAGAAGAGGAGGAAGAAGAAGAAGAAGAAGAAGAAGAAGAAGAAGAAGAAGAAGAAGAAGAAGAAGAAGAAGAAGTTGCAACTTTTACTTACCCTTGTTCTGCTTCTTCATCCGGATGGTTGTTTTCTTAACAGTGCTTGCGATATCGTGATAAACTAGAAGAAAAGGTACCGGTAAATGTTACAGTAAGGAGAGTGCTGCTGGGTTGGATCAAAGGCTCACCTAGCTCATCATGGACAGAGGATCTAAGGGCAACAGCCCACTCCCCAGCAACGAACATTCAGAGGTAAACTACCTCTGATAATGAAAGCTGTACTGCAATTCACTTTCAAGTGCCAAATGTTCAGAGTATGGTACATGAGACAGCGGCATCTGAACTGGACCAGTATTCCTGCAAGGCAGGGGGTTGGACTTGATGACCCTTGGGGTCCCTCTTCCAACTCTACGCTTCTGTGATTTGCATGTTCATTCAGACTTTTGGACTTGAGCTTTTGAGACAAGCAGACCAAAGGAATGGCAAGCCACGTAGGCTGCGTCAACAGAAGTCTAGTGTCCGGATCAAGGGAAGTCACAGTCCCGTTCTATTCTGCCTTGGTCAGACCACACCTGGAATACTGTGTCCAGTTCTGGGCACCACAATTTAATAAGGGGGATATTGACAAACTGGAACGTGGGCAGAGGAGGGCAATCAAGAAGGTCAAGGGTCTGGAGACCAAGCCTTATGAGGAACGGTTGAGGGAGGTGGGCATGTTTAGCTGGGAAAAGAGGAGATATGATAGCCATCTTCAAATATCATAGAATCATAGAGTTGGAATAGACCACAAGGGCCATCGAGTCCAACCCCCTGCCAAGCAGGAAACACCATCAGAGCACTCCTGACATATGGTTGTCAAGCCTCTGCTTAAAGACCTCCAAAGAAGGAGACTCCACCACACTCCTTGGCAGCAAATTCCACTGTCGAACAGCTCTTACTGTCAGGAAGTTCTTCCTAATGTTTAGGTGGAATCTTCTTTCTTGTAGTTTGGATCCATTGCTCCGTGTCCGCTTCTCTGGAGCAGCAGAAAACAACCTTTCTCCCTCCTCTATATGACATCCTTTTATATATTTGAACATGGCTATCATATCACCCCTTAACCTCCTCTTCTCCAGGCTAAACATGCCCAGCTCCCTTAGCCGTTCCTCATAAGGCATCGTTTCCAGACCTTTGACCATTTTGGTTGCCCTCCTCTGGACACATTCCAGTTTGTCAGTGTCTTTCTTGAACTGTGGTGCCCAGAACTGGACACAGTACTCCAGGTGAGGTCTGACCAGAGCAGAATACAGTGGCACTATTACTTCCCTTGATCTAGATGCTATACTCCTATTGATGCAGCCCAGAATTGCATTGGCTTTTTTAGCTGCTGCGTCACACTGTTGGCTCATGTCAAGTTTGTGGTCAACCAAGACTCCTAGATCCTTTTCACATGTACTGCTCTCAAGCCAGGTGTCACCCATCTTGTATTTGTGCCTCTCATTTTTTTTGCCCAAGTGCAATACTTTACATTTCTCCCTGTTAAAGTTCAAAAGGGCTGTCACATGGAAGATGGACCACGGTTGTTTTCTCCTGCTCTGGGGGGGTAGGACATGAGACAATGGATTCAAGTTACAAGAAAGGAGATTCCAACCAAATATGGGGGGGGGGGGACTTTCTGGTGGTAAGAGCTTTTTGACAGTGGAATGGACTCCCTTGGAGGGCGATGGACTCTTTTTACTGGAGGTTTTTAATCAGAGCTTTGATGGCTGCCTGTTAGGGATGCTTTAGCTGCGATTCCTGCATTGCAGGGGGTTGGTCTAGATGACCCCTGGAGTCCCTTCCAACTCTACAATTCTACAAGAAGTAATGCAACTAGCTGGCTTTGAAAACCTTAGGTAGAGTCTAAAATCTTGCAACTTACTTGTGTGATCTTCATATCTTTCGATGTAGTGCAAATAGTGGATAGCTCTGTTCTTCGCCTAGGGGGGGAAAATCCAAGAAGACACTTTTCATTAAGAAATGATTATGTCAGATGACTGTTTCCATTTTACGGCGAGATCGAATTTAAGATAAAAAGGAAGCGGCTCAAAAATAAGAGCTATTTCTGCCAATTACGTACCGACCTGAAATGTAATTAGCTGGATAAATTAAAAGGGATCAAAATGCTTTTATAAAGTACCACAGACTATGCCCAACCAAACTTGCCAGCCTACCTGCCCACACTGGCAATGTCAGCTATTTGGGGGTCTAAAAGGAACAATGGGCGAGATGTCCCGCTTCTTTTACTCCCCTCAACTGCTGCCGGCACGCCCCTGAAAAGCTGTTCCTGAAGGATAGCAGATCCTCAAGCTCATTTTTTTTTGCATACATGGAGGGAGAGCAGGAACTGGAGGAGGGAGGAAATCTACAACACAGCTATGTCCCCCTTTGGCAAAAGAGAGCAACAGATCCCCAGCTGGTTAGAGGCTGGCCCAAGTTTCCAGTGTCCTTCACATGGAACAAAGGAATCTGCCTTCTACCGAGTCAGATCATTAGTCTATCTAGCTACAGCACCATCTATGCTGACTGGCAGGGGGCCTCAGGCAGGGAACCTTTCCCAGTTCTACCTAAAAATGATAGGGATAGAAACTTGCAAGCATTGCAGGCGCTCCCATCACTGAGCTACATTCCGTCCCCCCAGTATGTTCTCATGCCAGGACAGAACCACGGCACTGTGTGCATTTCATGCATAAATACCAAGAAAAGGAAGACCAGATTTGAAGGAAGACATCTGAAGGCAGCCCTGTTTAGGGAAGATTTTAATGTTTAATAGACAATTGTATTTTAATATTCTGTTGGAAGCCACCCAGAGTGGCTGGGGAAACCCAGGCAGATGGACAGGGTATAAATAATAAATTATTATTATTATTATTAAAGGTAAAGGTAAAGGACCCCTGACCATTAGGTCCAGTCATGACTGACTCTGGGGTTGTGGCGCTCATCTCACTTTATTGGCTGAAGGAGCTGGCGTTCAGCTTCTGGGTCTTGTGGCCAGCATGACTAAGCTGCTTCTGGTGAACCAGAGCAGCTCACGGAAATGCTGTTTACCTTCCTGCCAGAGCGGTACCTATTTATCTACTTGCACTTTGACATGCTTTTGAACTGCTAGGTTGGCAGGAGCAGGGACCGAGCAACGGGAGCTCACCCCGTCGCGGGGATTCGAACCGCTGACCTTCTGATCGGCAAGTCCTAGGCTCTGTGGTTTAATCCACAGCGCCACCCGCATCCCATCATCATCATCATTATTATTACTACTTTTCAAAGAACATACTTTCCTCAATGCAATCATCCTGTCCGTTGCTTTTCCCAGTGCAAAACCTGAGGGATGAAAACAGATTGGTTAGTAGACAAATGCCGCACGCGGAAATCTGCAAAGCACTTGCGAACAAGGAGGCCTCCTCATATCTCTGCACTTCGCGCCACTGATGCAAGTGGCAGTCCTGAAGTGCTTTTGCATTTTTAGGTTGGCTTCCCCCCCCGAAGGACGCTAAAACTGTCCAGAAATGTGCTCAAGGAATCAGATAGCAGTTGTGAAAGTCTTCACTTCTCCCTTCCGTCTGTGGAACGGCTTGCCAGCTTTCAGCAAAAGGGAGCAAAAAACCTTACTAAATGTGCCCTTGGCTCCTTGATCAATCTACTTTCCGTGCAATTAAACGGCACAAGTCTTGGCTTTCATGGAACAGAGTGCCACCGGGAACCACAGAGCGTAATTATAGAATCGTGGTGTTGGAAGGGACCTCCTGCGATGCAGGAATCCCAAGCAAAGCATCCATGACACATGGCCATCCAACCTCTGCAAATTAAAAGCAAAGGACCCTGTATTAATCTACATCCCGAGAACACAGCCAACGAGGGTGGCTTTGCTGCTGGGCTGTAATCTTGGCAACAGCTTTAGATTCTTACTCTCCGAGGAAAAATAAATTGGTGTCTGATGGTGTATTTTAGAAGCTGCTGCAAGAGAAGTGTTATTTCCTTGCTAAGTTCGTATTTAACAATGTTCCAAAGAAAATTGCTGACAGTCAGGAAAAGCCTCCTTAGCAGCAGTCTTTTTAAACAGGGGCAGCCAAACTTTGTGCGTTGCAAAGGCCGAAGTGTCCTTTTGAGTCAGAGGACAGGAAACAGCCTTCCACTCGGGGGCAAAACCCTCCTCTCCTGACCAGTTCTTCGGTCTTTCCACGCTTCAGGCAATACTGTGTTCTATCTCCTTCCACCCTTGCAGAAATTCTCCCCCTTCCACCCCTTGGGTGATGAAGATCGAAAATAACTTGGGCATGAGATACGGAAGATGATAGACAAAAGCACACATTCAAGGGCTGCGGCCAACACAGAGCACAAACCCTGGATGGAGACGCACACACCAAAGAAACAGAAACGCAACTGAAAAGAAGTTCTAGAAAAATAGTGGGTTGCTACGGTTATGAAATGAACAGAAGCTGCCCCCTGAGAATGAAGTGCTCACTTACCAGCAATTCCATTTCCATTTCCAACCACCACCAGGGCACTGACAGATTTTCTCCTTCCTTCCTTGGCTGTCATATTAAATACATTTTTCAACTGAAAAAGAGAGAGAGAAAATGCAGGCAAAGTTTAAGATTGTTGATAAGTTAAAATAAAAAGAGGATGTTTGCGGCAAGACTGTTCTGATGGATGTTGCCTCTTTGCAAATCAAGATTCATCATTTTGACAGTTCTCTTGGTATGGGTGGGTTGTTGGGAGCACTGTCATTTGCTGAGGGTGTGTGTGGGGGGAGGACAGGCAGATGGGAGACTCCTATGCTGCCTTCCTAAAATGGTAAGATCTATTTGGCCTTGTGTGCATTGCATTTTATTCCCATGTTAGTCCTTGTTTCTCTCTCCTTATTGGTGTTAAATGATTGTTTAGTTGTTTAGTCGTGTCCGACTCTTCGTGACCCCATGGACCAGAGCACGCCAGGCACTCCTGTCTTCCACTGCCTCCCGCAGTTTGGTCAAACTCATGCTGGTAGCTTCAAGAACACTACCCAACCATCTCGTCCTCTGTCGTCCCCTTCTCCTTGTGCCCTCAATCTTTCCCAACATCAGGGTCTTTTCCAGGGAGTCTTCTCTTCTCATCAGGCGGCCAAAG